TCCAGATATTAGGCTGTGAAAAGTATTTGAAAGGGATGCTTCTGCAAAGTGTCTTGGTGTGAATGAAGCATTCTTCAAAATGTAAAGGTGGCTGCATACTTTGAAAGGCTTATTTGATTGTTTCAGAGCCTCTTCTAGTTGACTGTATATACATGGGAAGTTCTTTTATTGTTATCAACCATATGCCTCCTATAGGCTTAGATCTGTATTTGAAACAATAGCCCACTGGGCCCTGAATGATAGACCTGCTAAAGTTACGGAAAAGTTATTTCAGCTTAGAAACTATTGTATTGAGCAGATTGGGATATTGTGTAAAGGTGGTATATTTATCTGAACACTGATGTTTTTCATTTAGCACATATGTATTTTTTATATAGTATTTTCTTGTATCTATTTTTCTCCTGGAAATATATGGTGTATTTTTTTTTATTTTTTAAAATATAGTCTTCAAGATAATGTCAATAAATTATAAATTGCATTGTCTATCTGCCCACTTTTATTGAGAACACGAGAATTGCAGCCTTATTAAGTAACTGTGCTATAGTACCTTAATAAGTCAGTCTTTTATAAATATGCTAACGTTCATAATATGCTTCTGCACTGAAAGTCCAAAAATAAAAGTGTATGACTTTCATGCAAAATAGGTTTTGGCTGTAAGTACTTGAAACATAGATTGCCTGGTACTCCTTGATGGTAATAGGTGGATTGTTTCATCTTGTCAATTTATTTCTTAAACCTAAAATAAGGTGGCTGGTGGAAACTAAATTAATCCCTTTTGCATTAAATCAGCAGTATGCATTCTTCTGTGTCAGTGCTTTGACATTACTAACTTGGCTTGATTCACACAGTGTTGTTTTATGTTTCATTTTTGTTTGTCGTGATATAGATGTACAACATTTCTATATCATATTTCATTTAAATTACCTTCTGTTAGTAAAGAAGGGACTATAAATGACTTGGTAATATTATTGAAATAGAACTAGCTGAATTCCTCTTCACTCCATTTTTGTTTGTTTTCCAGGTGCAAAATCAGTGCATTAAACATTGCAGAGGCTTTACAGAACTATTTAACATTTTTTTCACAATCGCCCCCAAAATGCAAAAAAAACTTATATAGTTGAAAATCATCAGCGAATTGCAGTTGAGTTTCCATGGTGCAATTTGAGGGCGTTTTGAGGATACAGAGTGGGGCTGGAATTTGCTTGTATCCCATAAACTTTGGGTTACTATTGTTTGTTCCATGAATCCTGGTCTAGTGATACAGGACAGCAGTTTGTAAAATCATTGAGAAACCAGTATTTCAGGGTTCTCTGCTTCTCCCCCTCTCCTTTGATGTCATACTTTAAGTTTAAGAGGCATGAAAGGTTACTACTGTGCATTTGGACTTAGAAGCCAGAAATCTAGGACTTGTGTTGTTGTTTTTAAATTTACAATTAGATCTTTTATTTCTCTAGGATATGAAGAATCTGCAGTGGGCTCTGATTTATTAAATTTATATGATTACCTATGGGTTCTTGGAATTTGATAGAAACTCAAAGCTAAATATAATTCTAGATTGTTGTTGTTCAGCATTGACATTCAGCATTCAGATCCATTGCTTAGCAGAACTAGTACTTTTATTTGGGGCTATTTGTTTTTTTTTTAATGTGCAAAGTTTGGGTTTTCCAGCCTTCATTAGAATTCATGAAGGACTTGCAGGTAACAGGCAAAACTTTCCCCTCTTAGTCAGTCTGGCATATGGCTTTTCTTTGATTGCTAAAACCTTTGATCTTCCATCATTTTCAATACCCCCAATACCATCTATATTTGGGTAGGTAGGTCCCACCATGCATTCTCACATTTGTCTTTGGCAGAGTTCCCCAGGCTTTTTGTCCCTTCTTTGTGGCCAATGGGGCAATCTCCAGCTAGTTAGCTTTTAGCAGTATAAATACTGTTGCATCCAATTCAGGTTTGCCAACCCGCATTGTTCTTTATTAAACCCTTGTCTATTTGCATCGTAGCTGCACCTGTAATGTGCCAATGTATTCCTGGTAATAATAAGATTCTACCCTTAATGACAGTCAAGCATCTGAGGCTTGTCCCCTCTCCTTTAGGAAACTTTCTCTACTTCCTCTATTCCTAATCTTAGTTTCTGTTATCAACTAGCTAGCATATCTTTGGAAACATGGATGGGTATGTGAATAGCAAGCAAGAAGCCATAAGTAAATACAAACCATCACAGACTACCTATCAAAATATATTTTGTAAGTGACTTAAATATCAAAATTAAAAAATAAATATAAACTTGAAAAACCCTATTTGTATTGCTGGAGGTATTAAATATTAAATCATATTGAAAGAAGAGCCCAAGACGCATTAAAACAAACTGGCCAAAATAAAAATATTTAGTGTCAAATAAGCCATAGAGAGGACCATCAATCATCGTGTTCTTTGGAGGCTATTCCATAAAGCTTGTTAAGAAGATCTTTGCCTTAGTAGTCACATGTTGCTGTTCGTTTGTTAGGGATTCACACAGAAATCCTTAGATACACACACAGACCCACATCCATTCATCCATCCATCCATCTATCTTTCCAATGATCCTATTTGTTAAAAGCATCGCTTTCAACAGAATCCACAAATTCACGTGGAGACTGGGCAGCTGGTAAAGCATTGGCATGTGCACTTGAAGCAATTCCAATTCCTAATTTTGGAGCTTTATCTCCTTCTGTGAGGGAAATAGGCGGTTTAGAAATGTGTATGTGAGTGTGTGTGAGAGGGAGTGGGGCAACTTGAATCAACAGCAGTTTTTAAATTTTTCTAAAGGCAGTCCTGTGTACAATAGATAGTAGTCTTTCAGAAGTGAAGTTATAAGAATGTGGATACCTGATTAAGATATCTCCGTGCAGGTGTCGTTACAGCTGCCAATCAGCTAAAGTTCATAAAAGATGCTTCAAACCACAGAAGGTGTTAGAGTCTTTCTTTAATAGTAAGAGTCATTAAATTACAATGGTGCTTAAAGATATGTGAATTTATGAACTTCTTTGTTTAATTGGGTTCTCACAGGTGTGTGCTAATTGGGCATACATTCTGATAGGGAGGCATTCCCTGAGGATGGGCTCCAGCATGTGTCTGAAAGCTCAGAAGATTAAGCCTCTGGTCCCGGTGACTGATCAAGATTGGAACATTACCCTGGGCCACATATATTTACCTTCATTCATAGGTTCTCTTTATCTAGGGTCTTCCCACTCCTGAGGTACCCCAAATTCCACTTAACGACTTGCACATTCGTTAATGCATTGAGCAGAGCAGGGATGAGGACTCATTAATGCCTTTCAACTGTAATGGGCAGGCTCCATTATGTTTATAAAAAGATAAGCTTTTTCTAATGCAGTGTAAAATCTGTTCCTAAATTATATGGATGCACAATTATTTTTTGCAGAATTGGGGAGAAAAAACATTAAATCTTGCCTTTGCTGTTAGATGATGTTTAAAAAGAAGACTGCAATCTATACAATGTACTTGTAGCCTTATTGTATATTTGTGATCACACAAACAATGATCAGTTAAAGGAATTTTGTTCATTGAAGCTCAAATGTACATGGGAAATATTAATTTAGCAGGTGCACAGTAATAAAGCATAATTATTCAAGGTTTCAAAAGAAGGGAGGGGAGGAAGGAAGGAAGAAGGAAGGAAGGATAGGAATAGGAAATACATTCAAATAAAGACATAAATTGTTTCTTTGTGTGTAAATAGCCAGTTACATTTTATTATCTTTGTAATTTTGTTGATCAAATAATAATCTCATTGATGAAATCACCTGTAAATATCTATACATCATAGGACAAAGTTATTTGAGAGAGCACCTGTTTCCCAAGGGTTCTGCTCAACTGGTAACATATTCGCATAGTTAGCCCACTCTGGTTCTCTTGAATTAAACCACGTCATCTGTTGGGACCCAAGAAGCATACCTTCTTTATCATAATGGGTGCCTTTTGGAATAAGGTATCCCCATGAAATCTATGTGTTCCCAGCCTTCAGAACCATGTGTGATTTGGATGGGAGTTCTTGTATGTGTCTCTTGGTGGTGTTTTTTTTTATGTTTGTTAGCATGTTGTGCCTGGATCCCATCTTGGTTTTATTATGGTTTGGGTCTTAATATTACTATTAAGGATAGTAATATCCTTAATGTTACTATTTGAGGATTCACGCAGGGTCAGTTGAATTTGGGTAGAGCCTAAATTGAATTGAATAAAGAAATAAAATTTGAAGCCTTCTAGAACTCTGTCTGGGGAGAAAGTACTTTCTTCCATTATTAGAGTGATATTTCTCTGATCGAACCTTGGATGATTGAGCAAAGCATTTTCCTGCTCAGTCCTTTTTGGACAATTGTGTACATAGAACTAGTTTTACCAGAAGTGAGTGCTATAAGAGTTCATGAAACAGTTTCTGCTTCATAACACTGAAGTAAGTGGGAGAAAATAAAATTAACAATTTAAATGTGTAGAACATAATTTAGAGTATTTTAGCTAGAAATATTACATTGTGGTTATTGAAGAAAGCAAGTTTGTTGTAACGATTAAAAGAACTAGACTAGAAACCAGGAGACTATGTATGCTACTTCTGCCTGAGGCAGAATGCCAGCTGGGCGACTTTGGCCAATCCTACTCTCTCTCAACCCAGGAAGAAGGCAAAGACAAACCACTTGTGAAAATTTTGCCAAGAAAATGGCAAGGACTTGTCCAGACAGCTGCTTTAAGCCAAGATTGACTCAAAGAAACAACAACATTATTTTATTTTTATTCTGTTTATTCAGTGCATTCTGTAGTTGGTTGGTTTTATACATATTAATTTAAAAGAAGGAAGAAAAAAAATTAACACAAAAGCAACAGTTTTGTCTCATGATTAGTATGGTTGTTATTGATTCATTTCTAAGTGTGCATGGACCTTTTGGAGTCTTTCTTGTGAAAGAATATAAAGTTTATTATATGTAATACACCTGCTTCTCTTTTCTGTCTAGATCAGTGCTAACTGTTGCTTGTGAACAGACAGAAGTCCTGCTGTTTGATCCTATCTCTTCAAAGCACATCAAAACCCTTTCCACTGCTCATGAGGACTGTGTAAATAACATCAGGTTAGTCTCCTGGCAAATAAAATCAGTTGCCAATGATTAAAATTCCAAAGCCTGTTTTGTTCAACTCTAAAAGTAGTGACGGATGAAGTTGTAATGTTATCCAAATTAGTTGTCATTCAAAATGTTTGTTTTTCTTGCTCTCAATTGGTATCAAATATTACATTCATGTCTTTGTAGAGACTCAAGCCACATTGCTATGGCCAATGAGCAGATAATGTGGATGAGCACAGATTATTGTAGGAGCCTCAGTCTTTATAGAGGGATCTTATGCTTTCAGGTCCTTAAATTATTCACTCCTCTTCTACAAGAGTTACTGCCAACTGTGCCCAAGAATCTCAGAGGTTAGATAAATAAGGCAGATATAATTCCAAATGGAGAATAAGAATGTGTCTGTGTGTGTGTGTGTGTGTGTATTATATATAATATAATATATATATATTAGAGTTACAACCCCCGGTATGCCCAAATATGGGAGGAAGATCAC